TCTGAAATTCTTTTTTTCAAAATTGTGTTTAAGGCAATCAGCCAGATTTCAATGAAAGCCTTTGCTTTGAATGAAGGGTGAAGTAGAGCTTAAATGAATATAAGGTCATTTTTATTGTTTTTCAAGAAGAAAAAAAGAAGATCCCCACCATTTTGGTACCATAACTAAAGCCATCAGAAAGATTTTTTCTTTTGTTTGATAGAATTTAGAGAAATGTATTGTGCTGCTAGGAAAGGATTTAAATAAGAGCCTCCAAGGAAGGGAAATCATGGCTCTTCTCCATGTGCTAGTGATAATTTTAAGTTGTCTTTTGTTGAGTCTCTGTCTACCTCAGTGTTTTACTTGATAACAGACCTCACTGAATCAGAAGTTGGCAATTTCATCATAATGATTTTCTTATTTATCACCTAAAATTTATAAACTTTATCTCTTATGTTAATATGAAATGTAATGATAATGATGTCAATGTTTAAGTTTTAGTTCAAATATTCTATAAGTGTGTTTCTTATTTACATAATTGTTACTAAGCAGGTAAAAAGTCACTAGAGTGACTATCTTCTCTGGAGTTATTCAGGGACTCAGGCTAATGGAAGCTCTGTCATCTTCACCATGTGACTTCAAAGGTCATTGTTGGGAGTATCTTTATTCCAGCCTGCCAGGCAGGGAAAGAGCATAGATCACACATGGGAGGGTTTTATGTGCCAAAGACCATTCACTGTAACCCAGATGCAGTTTGAGGTAGTTTTTCTCCATATCTCTCCATTATATCAGAAAGGATATAGTTAAAAGAACCCTGATGCTTAGATGCAATTAGAACCCATTTATCCATGATGGAAAAGAGCTTTTCAATTCAAGGTTAGAGATGAAAATGAATATGATGAAAGTTTATAGAATCAATGCAGCCAAAAAGAAGTTGACTAAATCACAGACAGAATTAGGATGCTATCTCTGAAGACTAAAAGAATTATTCTGGGGCACATAAAGGCAATATGTACAATTTTAGAGTAACTATCAGTGTGTCAGCTACTATTGATTAACACTATGTGACAGGGACTTAGATACATGATTTCATTTGATCTTTACAATAACTCTTCAAGATACCTTAGTGTGGTGGTATCCTATCTTTTCCACTGAGGCAGACCTCAAGTGAATTATGAACTGATAAGTGATCAGATTATATACCACAGTCTAGTTTCTAAGGGAATTGAGTATATTTACTCGTATATTGTATTGTGGTTTAAAGTAGAGAGAACCTACTCAGATACTCAGATGTGTGCCTTGCACCTTTTAGAAATGTCTACCATGGTAGTTAAGAGTCAAAGTTCTAAAACCAGACGTCCTAGGTCTCAATCTCAGTTCCAAGTTGTATATCCTTGAGTTTATTCATCTCTTCAAACCTCAGCTGTTTATGGAAAATAATATTATCCACCAGAGCAGTTGAGAGTAACAAGGTTTAAATAATAAAGACATTTATTATCTCACTTATCAAAAAGTCTAGAGATGGTTCAAAGGGTTAAAAGCCTCATGAAAGACCAGGATTCTTTGCATGTTTCTACTCAAGGTACTCCTTATGTAACAATATGGAGCAGAGGGAGGGAGGGGATGGGGGAAGGGAGGGGAAAGGAGGGAGGGAGAGAGAGAAAAATTTCCCTGAAGTCATTGGTCAGACCTGAGTTCCTTATGTACCTCCTAACCCAGTCACAGATAAAGGAGAATAAAATTATTGTAATTGGTATAGATCAATCAGTTTTCCCCCTGGAAAGAGGGAGGAGCCACTTTCCCTAAGCATAGATGCCACCCAAATTAAATCAAGGTTTGCTTATTAAAAAAAAAGGGTGGAGGGTGTTGTTGAATAGTAAAGGTTATGTTTTCTGAGCGTCTGGGATGTGCTTAACTTAGTGCTCAGCCTACAGTGAATGCTCAGTAAAGGCTAGCTTTGCCAACTCCCTGAGGCTGACATTCTGGAGGGCAATTCTGTACTCTTACAAAACACAAACCTTCCTATTGTTTCGAAAAACAGAACATAGCCCTGAACTTGATAGATTGCAGGCCTGGCTCACACAGTTTTGGATGTTCTTACAAGTCCTTTTGCATGGCACAAACCCTCACACTTTAAAAACATTTCTATCTTGTATCCTGAACAAAAGGTGTGGAAAATGAGGGAGTTAAACCAAGCTGCTTCAAGTCCCATCCTATATCCTACATGCTGAAAGCGGTTTTCCTGTAGTCCTCCTGTAACAAGCTGCATATTTTTGCTGGCAGAAGAAGTTCCTGAAGCCAATGTTTGTCTTGAAGACAACCCCTGTTCAGAAATCTACAGCTTTATTCTTCTTTTCACATTCATATTCACAGCAACAGCTGGGAGGAATCAAGAATACTAGATGAAACACTCAGCCATCCATCGCCATGATAATGGTGCCTAACAAATGAGTCAGTGGCATTCAGCAAAAAGCATTTATTGTCAAGCTTATGGCTCTGGAGGTGGCTAGGCCTGGCAGATCTAGTCCCCTTTGGACTTGCCTCCAAGCTGGAAACTGAACCTAGGTCTGTCCCATATGTCTCTTCTCAGATCAGAGGCTCCCTGAGGCATGTTTATCTCATGGAAATGTTAAGAAACCCACACAATTTCACTCAACCTCACAAACACACTCAAACTCACAAGTATATTTTGAGTCTTTGCTCATGTTACATCTTTGCTCATGTTACATCTTGCCAAAGCAAGTCACACTGTCCAACATCAATGGGATGGACACATACACAGCGTGTCTAGTAAAAACTACAAGGTCACAAGGCAATATGTGTGACCACAAGGAGGGCCAAGAAGCAAAAAATTATGGTGTAATAAGCTGATATGAGGAGGCTCCTTCTACCTTCTCTTTTTTGCTCAGATCCCATGTCTAACCCTCCAAAGTTCTCTTTCATTGAGAAACCCCCATCTTGCCTCTCTAAACCACTGATAGGTGAAATCTATTTGCCCAATAATCTTTCCAGTGGATTACAAAAGATTGAGAGAAACAAGGAAAGGAAAGGAATAAAACAATTCACTATTATCAGTTGTAAGAACAATTGAGAAGGTCTGGGGCCTTGTTGCATTTCTCTAAAGCAAAGAAAATCAATGTGAGAACGACTGGTATCTTCTGTGAGGTAATAGCAAGTCAATGCTGCTGATTAGAGGGACTGTGGATACCCTATTAAGGTTTTAGTTTAGTGACATGCTATCAAAATGAAGTAAGCCAATTTTTCACAAAATTGTTTGTAGTGAGTGGCTTCTAAGGACAAGGCAAGACCTCCAAAGACAGCAGAAGTCAGGAGTCTTGTTCATCAAGTTATCCATGGTGATTATAATAGTGGCGAGTGCACAGATGGTGATCAGTAAGTATTTTGTAAATGTATTGAAATATTTAATAGCAAATTTCCTCATTGAATTTTTAAAATAATCTTTTGACTGAATTTATAAACATTGGGCCTTATAGATCTTGGGAGCAGACAGAAAGACCTGACATGGGCAAGGTTTTCAAAGAAGAAAAACCACCAAATCAACCTTATTTGAGATATATTTACAAAAAAATGAACTCATTTTAGTTCTTTAAGCTTGACAAAGGTATACACACATTATAGAACATTTCTGACATGCTCAAAAGATCCCCGGTGTCCCTTCCTATGAATATCTGCCTACCCCTGACTATAGGCAACCTTTTTGTCAACAAAGAATAGCTCACCTATTTTAGAATCCTACAAATTTAATCATACAGCATGTGGTCTGCTGTGTCTGGCTTCTTTCGCTAAGCTTAAAGTCTGTATGATTCAGCTATGTGCAGGTGCCTTTTATATTGCAGAACAGTATTCCATTGTTTGGACATACCATATTTGTTTATTCCTTCACCTGTTGATTGGCATTTGAACTTTCCAGTTTGGGGCAATTAAGAAGAAAGTTATTAACAGTGCAGTCCAAGTCCCTGTGGACACGTTTTCATTTATCTTGGGCAAATACCTAGGAGTGCAATTTCTGGGTGTGATAAGTAAAAGTTTAACTTTATAAGAAATGGTTAATACTCCCTACAGTAATGCATGAGAGTTCCAGTTGCTCCACAGCTTTTCAAATACTTAGTATTATCAGTCTTTACAATTTCATACATTTTGATCTCCCTTTGTCTATCCCTCACTCCCACCCCCTCTCCTTTCTTCTCTCCCTTTCTTCCTTGAAATGAGAAATGTTTGTTGAATGAGTGAAGACAGACATTCCTGGACCTATGTTCCTAAATGGGCACGTTTCTATAAATAAGACAGACCTCTACCCTCCGCCCCTCCCCACACCCGGCACACGGAGAGGAGAGGGAGAGGGGACCTTCTCTCTTCCTTGGGAAATACTACCTTTGCTTCCCTCAAAAGCACAACGTTAACTGCTTGCCCGCGCTTCCAGATAGGCGCGCTAAAAACTCAGGCGCGATGAGCTTTCTCCAAAGAGCTCTCTCCAAGGCTCTCTTTCTCCAACTGCACTCTGCTCTGCTGGTAAATAATAATTGTCTTTTGCGGTCGGCGCTGGAGCGCTCCAGCGAGGGCAGAAAGCTGTGGACTACCTCTCTGGTCTCTCCCGACGGCCCCCTTTTCCCACTCGGTTAGGACCCAAAGACGCTCCTGGGCTCGCGCCCAAGTTCCCCAGAAAACCCCGAGGAGCGCAGGGCTCCAGGACACCCCTGCAACCAGAGCACGGGGCATGCTCAGAGGGCGTGCGGAAGGCAGGCGTTGGCTGCAGTGGGGCCCGGGAGCCAGGAGGTGCCGCTGCGTTCCCGCTTCCTGGCGCCTGACCCAGCGCGCAAAGTTGGGCTGGGCGCCGCGGGGGGAAGGAAGGACCGAGCGAGCGAGGGTGGCGGGGAAGGGGGGGCTGGAGGAGGAGGGAGGAGGGGGAA